TATTACGTACTATGTGTGTGTGTGTGTGTGTGTGTGTGTGTGTGTGTGTGTGTTAAAGATCTCTCACAGTCAGACAATCATTCCTGAGTATGATATCAGCCTTTTTTTTTTTAAATAATTACCACGAACCACTGCAAACACTTTGATGAGTCATCCTAATGTTAGCTCACAAAAAAGTTTGGATTTGAGGACTAAAAAGTTCTCAAATATTGATGGATCTTTTCAGGTTGTAAAAAAGTGCTACAATATCTTCAGTTGCAAAATATGACAAACATTAATATCGAGAACGCACAAATAATTGTCAATAATATAGTGAGCCTAAAACAAAGATATCTAGAATCTATAAAAGCAAAGACAAATACTTTTTATTAAAGTAGCAAAGTCAAGACATTACTTTGTTCAAAGCATTTGCTACTTAATAAAACCAGGTTAACTCTTCCTGATGAGCTCTTTTTATTCCCTACCCAACAAATAACAGAATGAATGGTGATTAACAAAAATAGTCTTTGTTAAGCTTTTGCCACTAATCGCTGACGGTCCGTCCACACGGCGGCGTGCGTTGAAGCTTCAACGCTTCTTCCTATTCACTTTGAATGGGGTTACGTCACGCTTTGCCGAACTGCATTGTGGTTCCGTCGCTTCGCTTTGCTCGCTTCAAAAGTTAAGAAAAGTTCAACTTTTGAAGCTTCGACGGAAGCGTCAGCCAATCAAATCATATGCCAGTACAAGCTCTAGCCAATCAAACCGCGTGCTTGTGTATCCGGGGCAGGAGATTCATGTGATTGGTTGTTGGTCGAGTTTCAGACACGCCCACCGGCAAGCTTCAACGCACGCTGCCGTGTGGACGCTGCGTGAAGGTTGTTGTTTCAGTTTCTCCTGACTAATTGCCTGTCTTCATATTTCAGATGTCTCTGATGGCTCCTCGCTGCCCGCTGTCGAGCTGCCAAGGAAACGGAAGGGAGATATGGAGGAGAGGTCAGGCCCGCATGTTGATATGTTATCATAAGTACTCCTTCCTGGTATAAAATAACCCACATTATGTCCTATCTTGCAGGCTTAGCATGGACTGTAAGATGGAAGATGACCTCAGCAGGTAAACAAGCTTCCTGGTATTCTTCACACACATTTGATAAGAGGAAACTGGCTAAGAGTTTGATTTTTCATCCCTTTAATTGCAGATCTGAAGAAGAGGATCAGCAAGTCAAAATAAAATGCTTCAGGTATTTCTATTTTTACATCAAATGACTCTTTGCAAAAGTATGGTGTGCTTTGGATTGGTGTTATTTACAGTGTAATGTAAGAGCTTGTTCTCTTGTTCTTTATTAGGATCCCCATTAGCACTAGCATGAACATTGGCTATTCTTCCTGGGGTCCTCACACACACAAAACATACGTAAAACTACATGCATAAAACAAAACTGATAATTGAAACCATTATATAATTACACTTTGAAGTATATATTTCCCGCCAAAATGGATCCAGTTGGTACAAATGACTGATTTGTGACTGTTCCTACAGGGAACCTCACCGACAGATAGAGAAGCGGCGTAGGGACAAAATGAACAACCTGATAGACGAGCTGTCGGCCATGATCCCCGCCTGTCAGCCCATGGCGCAGAAGCCGGACAAACTGACCGTGCTGCGGAAAGCTGTGCAACATCTGAAAGCCCTCAAAGGTACTTCTGAACCAGCCTGGGCATTTTAAACATCAGTGGCCTGTGTTACCCTCCATCTCAAAGTGAGTGTCTGGTGTGTTTTCAGTCGGGACCAGCAGCGCATTTGCGGACTCGACCAACAAGCCCTCCATCCTGCCCCAGGACGACCTCAGGCAACTGCTGCTCAGGGTAGATCCTCACGGACCCACAGAAAACAGTTTAGAAAGATTTCAACACAACATGCTGATGGAGACCAAACCGATCTATCTGTGCAATATCTCTATCTTTCTTTCTAGCAGGCTGCGGACGGCTTCATGTTAGTAGTAAGCTGTGACCGGGCTAAAATCCTCTTCATCTCCGAGTCTGTCGCCAAGATCCTCAACTTCAGCCTGGTATGTCGCACTTCAACATGATTAGCTATAAATACATATATGTCGTTTGACTTGAATCATATGGTAAAAAAAAAGAGTAAAAGCTTGAGTTATTTTGTAATGAAAGGTTGTTCTAAGTAGATTTTTGTAAAACATAATATTGTGTGTCTGTACATGTTATGTGTGCAAACTAAAGCACATGACACTTTGTTGAATCTCTAATAAAGACTTACTGAAACTTTAAATATTCAAGGCCAATTGAGGCCACCAACCTCTGAGCTCCTTTTCCTTTTTTTAGAGCAATAGCCACACCTGCTTACCACATGTTTAGCTTCGATACGGATCATAAACAAAGAATGCAGATAAGGAGGTGCATCAGGATACATAGTCAAACTGAAAATGCAAGAAAAACTAAACTGGTAGCAGAAATCCTACAAAGACAACAACATACAGAGATAGAAAATCACTACAAAGAGACAGGAAAAAACGAGCTAAACTACAACAACATCTAAATGTATTGGCTTCACAGTTGGAGCTGACTGGGCAGAGCTTGTTTGATTTCATTCATCCCAAAGACATCAACAAGGTGAAGGAACAGCTGTCATCTTGGGAGTATCCAAAGGAACCCATGATCGATGCTGCCAGTAAGTCTGTTTGCCCTGTAACGTCTAAGAAACTGTGAAATCTCCATCAAAGTCATGATCACGGTTACAGAGACATACGTCAAAAGGGAAATATGTCTCTGTGTGCGCAGCTGGGCTTCAGGTCCAGACGGATGCCCCCGTCAGGCCGACCCACTTGTCCTCTGGAGCTTGGAGATCCTTCTTCTTCCGGATGAAGCACAGCCGGGTGGCGGGGAAGCAGGAGGAAAAGCACCAGCTGCCCTGTGCTGCTAAAAAGAAAGGTGGGTTCAGACGTGGCACTTTCAGCAGATTAAACATTTAGTCTTTTTAAAGGAAAGAAAAATACCCATTTTCACAGGCAATAATCCCACCTTTTTAACATATTTCATGACTTTTTTGTACCCCCAGACACCTCCAGATACTGCACCCTGCACTGCACTGGATACATGCGGAGCTGTCCGTGCAGCCAGCTGGATTCAGAGGGGGACGCTGAGACCCCCAGCCTGAGCTGCCTGGTGATGCTGTGCCGCCCCCTCCCCCACGGCTCCCCCCAGCCTCCCAAAGACATCAACGCCAAGCCCTCTGCGTTCGTTACCCGCTGTGCCATCGACGGGAAGTTCACTTTTGTAGAACAACAGTGAGTGACCCGATTCCACATTTTGTTGAGGCTCATTTCTATTCACTTCCCATTTTCACTCTGCGTCCCCCTGTGTCCTCTCTCTGTCCCAGAGCCACCACAGTCATCGGTTATCTGCCGCAGGAAGTTCTCGGCACGTCGTGTTACGAGTACTTCCACCAGGACGACCTGCAGCACCTCGCAGAGAAACACAGGCAAGGTGATGGAGCAAAGCGACACAGTTCATCTGATTCTATTGGAGAAATTGGAAAATGTGTTGTTGTGCAGACGTTCAAGATAATTGACCAACTTGTGTCCAATCTCTTGGCAGTCCTTCGAAGCAAAGAGAAGATTGAGACGCTGTGCTACAAGTTCAAAACCAAATACGGCTCCTATGTTTCCCTCCAGAGTCAGTGGTTTAGTTTCACAAACCCATGGACTAAAGAAGTTGAGTTTATCGTGTCTTCAAACAGGGTTATGTCGTAAGTAATGATGCATTTATGAAGTTAAGTGTTAACAACAATTTGGGTTTTAATCCTGATACAATCTACTTCTTTGACGCACTCATCATGATGCCAGAACAGCTTTATTCTTGGATGTAACAGCGTAAATACTCTTTTGCACCAGCAGGGGGCCCGGCCACATAAAAGATGAGAAGTCAGGCCGCCTGAAAGCTATGCAAGGTAATAACTACAGTGTATTCTGAGGATTCACAAAGGCTGTTATTTCTTTTGTATGATTTTTTTTTTATAAAGTTTTGTTTTTACTCTTTTCTTCTTCCTCAGAGGAGACAAAGCAAATACCCATAATTCCCAGCCTTTCCAATGGTGTGGGCACGATGATCTACGCAGGCAGCATAGGGACCCAAATTGCAAATGAACTCCTCGACTCATACAGGTGCATTGTGTGTCCATATGTACAAACATGTTAACCTATTGCAGTGATTGTAACTTGCAACGTTCAGGGATTTGATTCATTAGCAAACATCTAAACATTAGATATCAGCAATAATATCTGAATGTAAATGACCTTAAATGACCTTAAATTCAGCGCAAGTGTCATCACCGTAGGACTGCCTCACTATCTTGTAGGCCTTATGGAGAAATGTGTTAAAGATGTCATAAGTAAGTGGTTTTAGGTGTATATGTCGAATAGGATATAAAAAAGTGTACACTGCATGAATAAAAACATCTATATCAAGCTTAAAATAATATTTCTAATTCATTTAGAAACTATAAATACATATTTACAGTATATTATCTCCCGTTTTTAAGCAGGGTTAACTCCTCTCCATCCAGCGGAGCTTCCAGTCCGTTTGGCTCGACCAATGAGAAATGTCCCCTGGTGTCTCCACCAATCAGCACCAGTGTGAGTGTCCCCTTCATCACCACAACACCTTTGGAGGCAAATTACACTTAGTCATTACAGTACTCACAGTCCTTAAACTTTTCCCTCATCACGCTTCACAGCCATGTTTTGTGTTTTATTGTTATATGTGTTACTGTCTGTGTTTAGCGGCATAAGCATGGCGAGATAGTTTGTATGGAAATATATGTTTACTTGTAATTGTAAGCTAATGTTGGTGCTGTGTAGTATTGATATCCAAATTATCAAAACTAGTATTTTATACATTGTTTGAAGAAAATTAATCTGGACATGGGAAGTTATGATTCAAACATATTTAAAAAATATATAATAATTCAATATAAGAAGCGGTAACAATATATTTAAATCATAATTGTAAAAAATAGATTGCCTTCAAGGCAACTGCACACATTGCACCGGTGTAGGTACCATATCTGCACGGCCTACCAGATTAGCACGGGGTCCGTTACGCTTACTAATGACGTCACGCATTGGCTGTACCCAAGAGGACATTTTACACGGCCAAATTCCGCAAAGAATATAAAAAATAACAATCGACAGTGAATGTATGTTAGTGGAACTGTGTCAGGAAAGTGAAGTGTTAATTAAGTAATGTTATTGAAGAACTGAAATGCATAAAATTGAAAATTAATATGTATCATATCCCTCCGAAATGGTATCTGGTGTTTCCATAGCAACAACAACTTCCTGTCAACAGCGTAAACTCCCACAGACAGTACACACGTTCATCCTCTGAACGTGTGTACTGTCTGTTCAAAAAACTGCAGGAACACAGAGAAAAAAACATAACCCCCTTCACATCTCAACTATTGTAAATGTTACGGGTCCCCGATGTGACCACAATAGCAGTGATGATAACTGTATTAAGCAGGTGAAACAGGAGCTGTTGACAGGAAGTTGTTGTTGCTATGGAAACAACATGATGGTATCTGATATCATAAAGACGGAGAAAGTAAAGAATAACGTTTATGTTTAAATGTTAGCACCCCCCGAAGAGGCACAAGCTCTTACGTTGAGTCTGGAGTTTCAATAAATTCTAAATCATCAGTAAAATCTACGACCACATTTCGGAGGTATATGATACATACTAACTTTCATTTTTATGCATTTCAGTTTTTCAATAACATTACTTAATTAACACTTCACTTTCCTGACACAGTTCCACTAACATACATTCACTGTCGATTGTTATTTTTTAATATTCTTTGCGGAATTTGGCCGTGTAAAATGTCCTCTTGGGTTGCCGTACAGCCAATGCGTGACGTCATTAGTAAGCGTAACGGACCCCGTGCTAATCTCGTAGGCCGTGCAGATATGGTATCTACACCGGCATTGCACTGCACACAAATAGACAAAGTTAGTCAAATCTGTTTTTAAAAAAAAAAAATGTTTTTCTGAAAGAAGATATCAAAACGCTATAAATGTCAATACTGACCAGATCATAAACCAACTATGTTTGGCTGTTGTGTCTCGCCTTGATTACACACACGTCATGGGAGACAGGTGTTTTAATGTCACATGCCTTGTTTCAGGCGTCCAGCGGAGGGGGGGCAGCAAGCAGCTCATCACAGTCTGACTCCAGGACAGCAGCTGGCGCCAGCTGTGCGACTGCTGACAGTTCAGGTACTGTGAACAGGATTATGAAATATCTAATCTGAGGCGTTATCAGTTATTCTATACTTATACACAAAGAATAATAAGAAACTCACACAACCTTCCCAAAGGTGTAAAGAACTCTTTCAGTCTTTGTACTGTTGACAACCCTCCTCAAACTGATTCAACAGTATAGAACAATCCAACATATGTGCAAATGCAGGTGTATGTTTATGTATTTGTTGGGAAACCATGGCAGTGACTTCGGGTTTAGAGATCATTTCTAATTCTCACACCCAAAATGTTTCAATGCTACTGTTTTAGAGTTTTCCTCCTGAAGAGTTGTGTCTTGGCTCTGTTTCACCAGGCCAGGTGTCCCAGCTGGAACTGGATGGCATGGTGGTGCCGGCGCTGAGCAGCTTCAGCAGCGACGAGGCAGCAATGGCCGTCATCATGAGTCTGCTGGAGACGGAGGTAAACGTGGGTCAACCGGGGGACTACGAGGACTTACACTGGCCTTTCTAAAGAGTGCACAGACTTTAAACTCTTACCAGCTGGGGGCCGTTTCCTGCTGGGAGCACTCAGCGGATGTTTTATTCTGCGTCTGACTCGGATGACTACAGCTGACCTGCTGGAATTCTACCAAAGACTCCACCATGTACTAACAAGATTGAATGGGATTTATTGTTACTGTAATTACCTTGTTGGCCCCCTTTGTCTCTCACCTGGTTGTGAGGTTCAAGTGTCCCGGAGCTTGTTGGGATTTAGTGTATTCAGGGACATATCGCCGTCCTCAGAAGGGTTCGAGCCCAATGAGTGAGGATTGTCTGGAGGAGGATCCCACTCCGCTGTGTGCAGTGCTGCTAGAGAAACTCCTCTAATGCACGTGTCCTTTTTGAAGTATCTGTTTTCATATGAAATGTGCACTTAAGGGTCATGCCTTACTGTGTTCGCATATCACATTAATCCACTGAACTCCTGGGAAAATATGAAAAGGCCATCGTCTCAACAAGGACATTCTAACATGTTTTAGACCAGAGGTTATTACCATCTTTTATACCCTCTCTTCTAACCCGTAAACCTTTTGAAACAACCCAACACTGCACTGAGTATGAACAAACTGTTTATCTCCAAATGTCCAATCACCACAACATCCTCTAAAAGGAAATGAAAGTTTAGCCCACTTTCCGTCAGCTCTCCAGCTATTCTGGATCAGATGTTGGTGTTCTTTTTTTCTTATGACCTATTTTCAAAATAACCCGCTTAATGCCATTCATCAGGAGAGGGCATGCTAAAGGAAATAACATTTGATTTGATCCCAGAATAACCCCTGGAGTGAATGAGTTTGGATTTCACTTGCCTTCATACTGCACCTGTAAATTGTTGGTATATCACTGGTTCCTCTAATATTGAAAGCAAATTATGATTTGTGTTTCCTTGAACAAATGATTACCCTGACAAATGTCAATTGTAAATCAACCTTTATTGGGCTTTATAATTAAATCTGTTGGAAAATATTTGCTGTTGCCACCAGGGTCATTTATTGAACACGCCCTGCTGTCACAGGACAACATGATGGTTGTATGTGCAAAGTGTGGTTGATGTATCTGCTGTAATAAGGAATGAAGGTATTTGAAAGTAAAGTTTTTTTTTTTCATAAATTGTCTGAACTCTGTTGTGTCTAGTTTAGATATTGTTTTATAATTTAGTATATTTGCCAGAGGCAGGAATCTCATGCAGTACTCCTTATTTGCTATTCAACTGAATTCATAATTTGTTTCCAAAATAAGCACATTGTAAGGAACCGAATAGTTGTCTTTTATTGTCACTCATTGAAACAATACGGAAATAAGGAGGGACAAACATGCAGCAGGATCTCAGTGTTGGTTTTTGCACAGATATGTACATAGTTTAAAAAGTTTGACCAGTCCTTAAAAGGATGTTTACTCTCAATCAAAGGCTGTTAAGTTTTTATCTCTTAAAATGGAATCCATTTATTTTAAGGTTTTTAATTTTTTTGGCTTTTAATATAACACAGAATGGGAAATGAATCAGGCACTTTTAAAACAATATGTTGTTTCCCTACTGCATGTAATGGCATTTTTTTTAAATGTATTTGTCTAGCCCTGATTTTATCATAAATAATATGGTTTTCTTTGATTGAAAAAATATTTAGAGAGAAAATCTACCAATGTCTCTTCTTTTTAGTACTGAACAACTGAAGCCAATATGAAATGTAAATATGTAGACTGTGTGTCTGTCTCTCTCCTGTGATCAGTGTGGAAGAGCTTATCTGTCGAGTAAACTAAAGCCATCATCCCCTATTACCCAACTGCTTGTTGCTGCATCAGCTTTCCAAACCACCAAATCTGTTTAGGTGTACACAATATACACAGCTCATTCCTGTTTCTGTCACTGAAGTCCAGTGTCATGACGCTGTGATGAATTACATCCCTCTTTTCTCTCTCCTCTTCCCCTCTTTAGCACACATTGAAAACATGCTCAGCCATCAACTGTTCAACTAAACCAAAGTCTCTTTATTCAGCTTGCATGGCAGTCTTATAATACAACAAATAGTTAACAGTCAATTATTTATGAAAAGCCGTTTAAAACCCCCCGTCAAAAAGTGTAAAGTGCAGTTTGTTAGTGTGCCTACAGCTGGACTGAGCCTGGACACTGTTTATGAATGCATGTAGATACAGTAGAGCAAGGGAATATCAGATCAATGTAAATGGTCACAACTACAGCTGACATTTTAAAATAATTCAAGTGTATCAGAGTACATAGGTCCACACTCGTTTCTTATCTCGCTTCTCAAACATCAGTGCATTTCTGGGTCGGACCTCCTTACAGAGAACCCTCGTTACATCACACAAGATTTTCCTTTTCAAACCAGACTTTAAACTAAGAATGTTGTGTTAATTAGTTGTAATTATTCTTCAAAATACTGAACACATTACCAGTCAATTGCCAAACATAAATCAAAAGCCATAGATAGTTGGGACAGAATAAGTCGTGGCAGTACAAACAACATTTGTTTAACATTTAGTTCACAATTCTGGTGAGAACAAAAGGATACATTTAAAGGTCCCCTATTATGCTCTTTTTCAACAATATATTATAGGTCTCGGATATATACACTACGTCTGTGATGTGGCTCGAAATACCAAACATCATTGTAGCATGCCATAAACCCCTCGGTTTCAGCACTGTTTCAATAGTGCAGATTATGTTTCTGTAGCTTTAAATGCAAATGAGCTGCTGCTGGCCACGCCCCTCTGCAAGATGATTGGTTTTAAAAAATCACAATGGTGCTCTAGGAGGAGATTTAGCTGATAAGGTGGGCGGGTGTTACCTTGGTTGGTTATTGGCTAATGGTTGGGCAACCCAAAAAAACGTTATGACATCATAAAATGGCCAAAATCTGATCAGCTCATTTTCAGACAGGTTTTTATATAAATGGATCAGGAGAAAAAGAGAGAAGATTTTTCCAGAAACTTTCCGAATCTCTTAACACAGAGGGGACACATATTTATGTATCAAAAAGACATGAACATTTGGATTTTTCACATTAGGTGACCTTTAAAGCGATCCCTGTATTATTAGCACACACTTGCATTCAGTGTCTGCAGCAACAGCAGCATTTAAATCACAGTGTTAAATCCCGCCAGTCTGTTTTCTCCATGCGGTGGGAAAGTATCAGTACTTATTAATAAGATCTGTAAAGTGACCCCAAACCGTTTGTTACCTCACAAGTCCGATTTCAGAAATTCATGTTAATTCTTAAAGCAAACATATAGACTGTATTTACATGTCTAGATTAGATTTGTGGACCTCAGTAAGGCTGATAGGGATCCTTTTATATTAAAAAATGAATACTGCTGAAAGATTTGCGCTACCTAAACAGAGACGGCCATAGTCCTTCCAGAATTAGTCAAGTCCAACTTCCTGTGTTCCCTTGTTGACCGGCTACTTGGAACTTTCTTGGAGTTTCTCTACATAACTCCTCTTGCAGAGATTGCAGCAGCGGTAAGAATTAAAGAGACAAATGTAGTGTTCAGTTCCTGTTTAGTCCGTAATGCAGGAGAAGCAGCATGCAGTAAAAGAGGGTACTGCAGCTATACACATATTCTTTATGTCTCTCTGGGAACATTGCATCCTTTCTGTGGGAGAAAACTAGGAGGAGTAGGAAGTCTCCATGTGTCCCTTCAGCATCTTCCCCAGGAGCTACTGCCATGGCCGCTGTGGTGTCGGGTTGGGGTTGGGATAGATGGGCGCCGGTGTCGGGTGAGGGTTGGGGTGGGGCGGGTAGGTTGGGATAGGGTACTGCGCCATGAGGTGTGGCTGCAAGTGGGGGGCGGTGTGGGTGGAGGTGGAGGATGGGTGGTGGAGGTAGAGCGGGGCGGAGGGTGCTGTGGGAGTTGGGACTCTCTGCAGGACGACATGGGGGTAGAGCTGAGACTCGGAGCGGTAGAGTCCGGGAAGAGACGCCTTCAGCAAACTCTCCTGACTCCTGCAGGAGTAAAAGAGCGGGAAATTAGGCAGGAAGTGGAAGTAGAGATAGCCAGTCATCCAAATATGTAAAACTTTGAAAACCGGTTTAAAATAAGTGCATCTGTTGGGGACTATTTTCAGCGGTGGAATAACACACATTGATGAGTGTTTACATGAACAGGCCAGTGTATGCTTATACTAATGAAGTAACATGTCGGCCAGTAAATCAATGTGTGATTAATTATTATTTTTTAACAATAATGGAGCTCTTCGGCATATCATCTCCCCCACTGTTAGCTAGTTGAATGTTCCCTCGGATGCAGTGACACAAAATCAATCAGTTTGGAAAGCAAAAATGTGATTGCGAACACAATCGGCTTCAGTAAAAGTTCCAAAATGTATGGTTTGGACATATAGTTTTGGGGAGTAGATATGTATACCCTTTGAGTCCTACCTCTGGTACCCCCTGTTCTCATATCCACCCAGACTTCCAGTCAGATAGAGGGGGCTGTCAGGAGCCAGGCGGGGATTCATCCTCTGGGAGAGGTGGAAGATCTTGGGAGGAGGGAAAGCTTCCCACTCTCCCTCTTCTCTCTCCAGCCAACACTGGCTGCGCCGGCTTGAGCGCGTCTCCCTGCGTCTGAGGGGGAGACACCTGTATCAGCTCAGTCCTCACAGAGGGGATGTCACAGGTGGGGTGGGGGGTGGTATCGAGAGTTACTTTAGGTGCAGTCCTACCTGCTCCGTCCCTCCTTCTTGGCTCGGTCCCGACCGGATCGCTCTTGAAGGCAGCAGATGAGGAAGGACAGAGACATGGCGAGGATGACGACGCCGCTCACCACTGAGGCCAACACAGCCACTCTGAGACCCCGGTCCTCAGGTCTGGGGATCGCTGCGGGGGGGAAAATGACATTTTAAAGGTCTCCTATCATTCAAAATACACTTGTTGAAGTCTCTTGCACATAAATGTGTGTCCCCGGTGTGTAAGGGAACTCACAAAGTGTCAGAAAACAAAACCCTCTCTCTTTTCCTCCGTACCCACATCTCTAAAAACGGGGGTACAACGGAGCTGATCCAGATTTGCTGCCGACATGACGTAATATCGGAAATGTGAGCTGGCTTTACACCCACGGCCCTATCAGAAACGTCGCTATTAGAAACAATGAGCGATGTGTTTTGGAAGTAATTTGGTCTTTGTTTACATTAGCAAGCATCGCTAAAACTCAGAGCTAACCTGTACTGGAGAGAGTAAGTGTAAAAAAAGGAACTCACCTTGTGGTAAACCCGCAAGAGAAAAAGCATTTGAGCTCCATACGGTTTCAGAAATAATCCTTGATGTGGTTTTGAACATGATATGCATTTAACCACGGTAGCATTTAGCTGAGTATCTGGGTAGATATGATTTTTCTTTTAAAGCTAAGGACCCAGAATCAGCATTTCTCTAACAGGGCTGAAATAGAGGGGTATGAGGCATGGCTAGAATGGGTGATCTGTTTGGTATTTTGAGCAAAACACACTTTTTATATATTTTTATATATATCTGAGCCTAAAAATAGCATAATTGGAGACCTTTAAAATATGTATCTAATAAGAAAAGGACAGTGTCTGAATAAAGCGTCTTACCTTCACAGACAGGCAGGTAGTTGCTCCACTGCGGCCTGCCGTTCTTCACATAGCAGGAGATTTTGTCGCTGCCCACCAGCTGGTACCCCTCCCTGCACCAGAAGGCCAACACGCTGCCGATGGACGTGCCGGTGCCGCTCTCCACGTAGAAGGAGCCGCGACGGGGAGGCAGGATCGGGATGCAGGACAGACCTGAGGACACAAGGTCAACTCATGGGTCACTAAAACGTTATAAATAATAACAGAATATGCAAGGAAGGCCAAAAGGCTTATTTTAGGTCCCACCCTCTAATAAGGACAAGTAATATGAAAATAATGTATTACATTTTGTTGAGAAATCTAGATGTTTTACAGTCCTATGTCTTTCACAGTAAATGTATTTAATGCAAGGTTTAGTGAGGGCAATGGAAAGGTGACTGTCTGGTCTGATAGGAGTAAAAATCACAAATGTGTCTCCTGTAGATGCCAAATACTGCCCAAAAATGTGTTTTGCACAGTCAGAATACTGCCTGAACCTGGTAAAAGTGGAATGAACAAGTAATAACAGGGTTTGCCCATACACGATTATGATGAAAATATCATAGCAAATAGCAATCACGGTACACATTTACAGATGATTCCACTTATATGTTGCTTTGCGTCTACGCTTCACTATACTTTGTGATTGAGAGCCTGGGACCTAAATAAGGAAGAACATTACAAGAACTAAAACGCGTTTTATAAAATGTTTATGATACAGTTTCATAATAGCATACAGAGGCATTTTCAAACTTATCAGCTGTGAACAAATCCTTAGTAGAGTTAATCGATCTAGAAATAGTCCAATTGGTGGATTATGACCTCTCTCACTTTGGAGAGCTTTTAAGCTATTTTTGGCAATATAAAACAGACTTTTTAAACTCTATGAACCTCTAAATGTTCCTTTTCCTTCATCTCTGTGAACTTCTTTCTACTTTGCTACCTTCACTTCTTTGTTCTCCTTTCTTTTCATTTCTACCCTACACAGACAGTCTGCTATGCTGAGAGTCTGAAAATTAGCATTTCCACTCGAGAGATAGACAGAGGGAGAAAGAGACAGAAAGTGCTATTTTTAACTTCCTTATGCTACAATACTCATATCAGAGGTCTTGTGATATAGCAGCTATTGTTAGATTGTGGGGGAGATTGCGGGAATCTCAGAGGCTCTCATGTAAACGTACAGCGACGCTGGTCACACAACGTTTCGCTGAAAGACCCACATGGAAAATAAGTGCCTTATTTCTGCACTGTGCCACAGAACGACCATGTGGTATCTGCAGTGGGTTATTAATCAAAGCTGATGACTCAGCATTTCTACCTTTTTAATGCTCACTTCACTGAATCACTTCTTATGTCTGTATGTTAAGAAACAAAACAAGTACTTGTCTAGAGAACTGTATGTATGTATGCTGAATGTATGTAATTAAAGCATGATGATGTTTTAGAAGTAATGTTTAGAAGGCCACGTGATGTTCCAGTTTGCGTTGCTGCGTCAGTATTAGTGTAATCTGTGTGTGTGTGTGTGTGTGTGTGTGTGTGTGTGTGTGTGTGTGTGTGTGTGTGTGTGTGTGTGTGTGTGTGTGTGTGTGTGTGTGTGAGAGATTTCATCCCACAATAAGACCCTGTGAACATGCAAGCCGCTCTCTTCTGATTAGGAACGACAGATGGGAGGATTTCTGCAGCGGTGTACAGAAAGAGAGGAAGAGGATCCCATGATCCTGTGTGAAGATGACAGTAACTCCACCCCCCCACGCACACACACACAAACACACACATATATCCTCTGCATCGAGGCACACACTGCAGACACGTGCGTTATGGGTACAGTGCAGGGAAACAAGGACAAGCTGACTGTTTTTAAAGAGTAACTAAAAGCCATCCTGTTTCCCTAAGGCACCTTTTATTGTAGCCGTTGCTGCTTGTTGATACGTTTTGAGAAAGAGTTAACCAAAACAGTCAGGAGAACAGTATACATTTGGGAAAGTTATTCAATTCAATCTGGCTTTTTAAGAATAAGAAAAACACGAGAATTAGTGCATATCCATGCTGTGGTATCAAACCAACACACAAAAAGACACAAATGCTCAATAGAGCTATGGTTATGGAGTTGGGTGATAGTACATCCAGCAAAAACCACAATACATAAATAGACACTATTATATTTAAAATGACTTGACAAAAACTATAAAATACTCTACATTTTGTATGTTGCTTGAGAGAAGCATTACTGGAGAGAAGAGAAGCCCCACATGGGTTATCTTAAAGGTGACCTATCATGCAAAATGCACTTGTGTACGTCTTTTATACATAAATATGTGTCCCCGGTGTTCCAGGGAACTCACCAAGTGTCAGAAAACACAACCCTCTCTATTTTCCTCCTTACCCAAATCTCTTAAAAAGGGGCTGCAACGGATCTGATACAGACTGATCCAGATTTGAACACTTCTATGACGTCACAGAAGTGGCGCTACGGCTATTGGGCCAACTCCACCAATCAGGAGGAGACAGCCACGGACATTGCCGTTCGAAAGCGCTGGAGACGCTGTAGTACATATGCCAGGCCTGTAGATGGTGCTGTTCTCACAGAATCAGCCCATGCGAAGACAGTGTTAAATTGAGCAAAATGAGGAATGGCTAAAATGCATGATCTGTTTGGTATTTTGAAAAATAAAAAGTATAAATATGCCTTATATCAGTGCTGCATTTGATACTATCGACCATGATATCCTATTGCAAAGACTAGAGCACTTAGTTGGCATACAGGGAACTGCTTTAGGCTGGTTTAGGTCCTATCTATCTGAACGCTCTCAGTTTGTACGTGTCAACGATGAATCCTCCACGCAAACCAAAGTTAGCCATGGAGTGCCACAGGGCTCAGTGCTCGGACTTATTTTGTTCACATTATATATGCTTCCGTTAGGCAATATTATAAGGAATCATTCTGTAAACTTTCATTGTTATGCGGATAATACTCAACTATATTTATCAATCAAGCCTGATGAATTGAATCATCTAAATAAAATTCAAGACTGCCTCAAGGACTTAAAAACGTGGATGACCTTACATTTTTTGATGTTAAACACGACCAAAACTGAAGTTATTGTACTTGGCCCGAAAAATCTACGAAACAAATTATCTAAAGATATACTAACTATGGATGGCATTAATTTGGCCTCCAGTGAGACTGTAAGGAATCTTGGTGTTATATTTGATCAGGATTTATCCTTTAACACCCACATAAAATCAATTTCAAGGACCGCCTACTTCCATCTACGTAACATTGCAAAAATCAGGCATATCTTG